TTCGGGCACTTCCCTGCTGCAGCTTCAAGGGTTCTTCCCCGCTTTCTCGAAGGCTGCAGCCGGAGCACCGAGGTGAAGGCGTGCACGGCGCAGTCCCACATGCGCTGGGGCCTTGCCCACTGAAAGCATGCTCCCCGCACGCTTCCGAGCAAGCTCTCCTCCCACTGCCTGCTCTGGAGCGAACTGCTGACGAGTCACTAACTGAGTCAGGAGGTAAAAGTGGCGATTGCCTCGCCTCCCTGGGGTGCCTGCCACACCAGCCGTGCTTTCCACGGGGAGCCTGGCTCTTTCCCCTTTACGACTGAGCCTGATGCCCCAGTTCGGTGCCTTTGGCTGAGATTGCAATCCGGATCATGTGGGAGAGTTCAGCCTCGTGGGGTTTTGTGCCGGAGCAGGGTGTTGGCCCCAGTCGCGTGGGTAGGTTCCTGTTTTTGAAGCATTAATGTTTTTTTCTGACAGTCCAAATTCCCCATTGCAGTCTGAGGCCGCAGTTTTCTCTACTTCCCTGTGCTATGACGTGGGGCGCCTTTATCAAGTCTGTGAAGCATGCTCCGTGGGGAGGAGTGTGCAATTACACATAACTACCATCTGGCACGGTCGGATCCTGGAAGAAGGCACGGCTCCACATGCCTCCTTGACATTTGCTATCCTTGGTGCTGCCGAAAAAAAACCTCTACAAAATGCTGCTATTTTCCTGTTTCTGGCAATTACGAAAATAGCCCGTAAAACACACTGCAGCGTTAGCCCCAGTGCCAGAGGATGTTGCTGTTTGCTTACGGCGGTAGGGGAATTACACGGTGCCAGTGATGGTTGGGACTGGTATGCAGAAAGAGTTTAACAGGAGACGTGCTTGCATGAGCGAGCCAGCGTATCGCGGGCACCCGTCACAGGAAATAGCTCTGCCTGCTTCCCTCCCCAGAGGGAAGTGGCTGCTCAGCTCCGTTGTCTGTTTTAATTCCATTTCAGGCAGCTGACAAAGGAAGTAGGAAGAGATACGAGCCAGCAGACAAAGACAGGCCGACCTCTCCTCCAGCCAAACGGGCGAACCTGTCACCTGACAGAGGTGAGACATCAGCCGTCCCGGGGACTCCTGGCCCGGCTGGGTTCCTGCTCTGCCGCTCGAGGCGGCGCTCCAGCGACAAATGTCCCGTGAAAGTCGCTGCTGCAAGAGTCCACTCGCTGGAGAGGTTTATTGCAGGCATGTGTCCTTCCAAAACCTCAGAGTGTGCGATTGCCACCAGATAATGCAGGCGTCCTGCTGCAAAAACACGGTGGAGGTGAGACGCTCCGGTGTGTGAAGTAAGCGAGGTGAGGTCAGCCCTGGGCAGGCCGAACCCGGCCTTGCCTAGCTGTCTTGTGGTGCACGTTGTGAGTACCTTGGCTCCACTATGTCTGTGTAAGTCCACTGCGGGGGAAAAAAAAAAAAGCCCTGGCTCTGAAGACACAGCGTGCTCGTCTCCGCTGTAGATACGCATCCATCCCATAGCGGCCTCCTGTTCTCTAGTAATGTCGTTGGATGTGGCTGTGGAAGTCATAGGGTTTTCCCTTGCTGTATCCCGGGGTCTCCTCTGCCTTGTATTTCAGTGCATCGCGATGGATCTTAGTTCTCCTGATAGAAAGGTTTGTGGCAGTGCTTAGAAAGGGCACACGGGCTGCCAAGGCTCTGGGATGGATGCAATAATTGGCTAGATCACCCATCCTGCGAAATGAGACGATTTCCCCACTTGTGTGTGGCACAATCTGATCTGCCCGGTATGTTTAGAAAGACACGGGCTTTCCAAGTGTTCTCCTGTGTCTGAATCCTCAGCAGCAGTAGGAGCACCTCAGAAAACAGAGCTAGCACGCTGCATCGAGAGGGACCTAAATGCCACGCTCCAGCCTCTGCTGTCGCTGCTGAAAAACAAAGAGGGGGAGTCGTCAGCCAGAGGTGCTTGGTTTTGACGTACAAGCCAGCATTGACACGTGATGTTGTTTTCCCTGTTGTCTCGGCTGTAGGTGTATCTTGTTGACTCTGGGTGCCGGCCAGAAAAAATTTCTGTGCTAATAGCCTGGTTGCATTCAACTCCTGCAAAGGCAGCATGGAAGGGACTGGGTGAGGTTGAAGTTCACTAGGATCTAGTTCACAACTACTGCTGAGCTGCAGACAAATGAATGGGCCGACCTAGCAAACTGTGCTGATTTTGTAGATACATAGATGTAGATGTAATTATATACTTTATTTGTTGTCTGTACGTTATAAAGCATTTTTAAGCAGTGGCAAATGGGACACAAGCCCTGAAGGCAACTCAGCCTGACCTCCCAGTGGCAAGCGTACCCTTGACTGAATTGGGACTGAGCAAGGGGCACCCTCCGGCGTGCAGCTTGCGCTCCAGTGTCGCAGCACAAAGCTGGTCGGGGTTTGTGCCCCGAGTCTCGCTTCCCTGTTCTGTAGCCTTGCTGCGATCAGATCTGCAGTGTCTGCAGCCTTGTCTTTCCCACGGTGTCAGTCCTCAGGAGCAGAGGGCTGCCCTAACACACGCAAGCGGCTGCTGCTCCAAAGAACTGAGTGCCTTTGCTCTCTGGAGTGCTACTGAAAGTTGAGATCAGCAGCCGCCAGCGTTACTGTCCCGGCGCAGTATAGCAGGGCGTGCTGCTCGGCTCGTCCCCGGGGCTCACGGGCAGCCCTGCGGGCACACAGGCTGCCTTCCAGCTATAGTTGCCTCTCCGTGCGCTGGGATAACAGTGGTTGGGAAACCCGCTGCAGGAAAGCTGGATAACGCTGTTGCAGGACCCCCGCGGGCTTCCCGCCGCCGGCGAGTCCCCACAGCAGCTCTGTTCCGGCAGGGCACGATGGTTCGGTCTGTGCTGAATAAACACGGGGGTGATGCTGCCCGTGGATTTGCCCCAGCTGGCTCCGAAAGCGGCAGAGCTGCACTCGCGCAGCACTCTTTCAGCAAATACACCCTGTTATCTGGCCAGCGCGGAGCCAGCTCAGGTGCCGCTGTGCCCATTGCGCACAAACCGAATGATCTGCCGGGGGGATAATGGAGCACTGACTCGGTCCGCGAGGGCCGGCCCTGCCCCGCAGGTTTGCAAGCAAAGCACGGCCTAAAAGTGCAGCGGAGGAGCCTTGTTCCAGCAGCCGGAGGGTGAGGAGGGGGCCGGTGCAGCTCCCCGCAGGTGATGTTTTGTACAGCTGACCATGGGGCGCAGCCTCGACCAGCTTTTCTGCTCCCCCTGAAGACAGGGTGCACAACAGAAGGTTCCTTTTCTGCCTGCTGCTGGACTTGGCTTTTTGCTGGCAAGATCTGGGTGGTCTGAAGAGAGCAGCCTTACACTGCTGAGATGGTACGGTGGGCAGGGTAGCGACCCGTACCTTGGAGATGAGCGAGAACGTCTCACCTTCTCTTCTCCCGATAGGCTCTCGCGACAGGAAGGCGACCGGGAGACTCTCTTCACCCAAGCAAGAGCGACAGAGGGGCCAGAACCCGAAACCTTCTCCCGCGCAGACAGACAGGTCAGTGCCTGCTTGTTCTCGTGGCTCTCTTGTGGGCCAGGCTGGGGCTCACACTTCTCCAGTGGTTCGGTCCCTCCTCTCGGAGCAGCTCTGAGGCTGTAGTTTCCAGTTGTCATGGAGGCACAGCGAGAGGAAGGACGCGAAGCTCCCTGGGCAGGAGCCAGAGGTGCTCGGGGTTCACGTGGAAGCCACCGGCTCAGCCGTTCCAGCTCAGAAACGAGCAGGAGCCTGGGGGTTTTCCTGAGGTCAGTCCCAGGAAGAGGAGCCAACTGGGTTAGGTGCAAGCTCAGTCATGCCAGTGCCTCTGCTTCTCGCTAGCGCTGCGTAGTGCTAATGAGAAAGAAAGTACAACCCCTTCACCCCGCCGCCGAGCTCCTCGTGGCATCTGGCTCGGGTGCCTGGTTCCCTTTCTTCATAGCCTGGCATACGCTCAGCCGCTCGCTTTGCTGCTGTGAGATGTTAAAATGTGGCCCCTGCGTGAGACTGAATGGCGACTAGCCCCGGCTTTGCGCTTTTCCATCCCCTCTGGTGACAGGTGACCAGCTCGCGTCCGATTTCTTGGCAGTCTGCACCCGCTGCTCTGCTGGGAAAATCCCATTGCAGAACTGGATGCGTGGCTCCGGGGGCCTTGGGCTGTGCTCCGCTCGGAGCCCTTTGGCTAAAGGGTTGTGGAGCACCTTCCGCGGCACACCTAAAGCTTCCTCGGTCCTCCTTGCCCGTAGCCAGCCAGCGCCGCTTTGCATTTCTCTAGTGTCATCTCTCCGAGGATCTCTGTGAGCAAACGGACACAGCCCTCCCTGTCCCGCACCCCTGCGTTCGTTGGCCGGCAGGACTTGTGTCATCCCCTCTCCCCAGCCTGGGGCACGAGCAAGCCTCAGTTTCTGTGTGTCAGAGTCTTCCCAAACCAAAACCTAGCCCCAGCTGCCGCAGCCCTGTCCTCCTTCAGGCCCTGAGGTCCTGTTTTCTAGCAGTGAAGAGGAACCTCAGCCTTTCCAGACCGGTGGTGTTGACCGCATCCTTGGTTCTTGACCCTCTTCTGCCTACTGCTCTTTGGTTTGGCAGTGTCGCGCGGTGGGTTCGATGTGCCCTGGCCACGGGGGTGGTTAAGGGACACGCCGGCTTTCTCTAGGGCAGCCAAATGGTAGGTCCGTCTCCTGTTTTGAACTCCTCGGGGTTGTCTGGGTCATGCTTGCGTAGCCCCGCTTCGCTCAAGTGTAGTACGAAAGGGTGCAAAGCGGCATTAACAGAGGGGACGGTGACTCCATCTGCCAGCAGGCTGGCAGCCGCGGTGGCGCGGGCTTATCCCGAACGGTCCAAGTCATCAGAAGGAGCCGGCCGAGGTTCAGACTGCGCCTTCGGTGCGTTACTGAGCCAGCAGCGCTG